GAATGCGACGTCGTGGTGATGTTCCCAAGCGGAGCAAGCGATGAAACCCTGATGTGGCTTCTAGGTCGACTTCGGGCCGGAACCCCAGGCCTAGTGGTGCACGTGCGACACCATGCCTCATCAGATAGCTACGGCTTTTACCTAACAGCTCCTTTTAGCGTGTAAGTACATATTATCCTACTTTATAACCATATTATACAGCACTGTCTAAGTATATGGCCGTATTCTAGCATCCTCTGCTGTCCTCGCCAATTTTTAGATCTGATTTCACAAAATACTACCGATATTAATCTATTATATACACATTATACTCGTGTCAGATATCAGTATCTCATGCACGTTCTTTCTACTATTCCCAGTTGAGTTCTTAGCAATCACTTGCCCAAATAGTAGTTCAGTTATGATTCCAGAGTGTTCTTTAAGCTCAACTAAGTACAATCCAGGGTGTATTTCCATAGGTTTACAGATGTTATTTTATCTTGACTCAAGTAGCTGTGCGCACGTCAGAACAGAAGTGAGAAGCAGGAACAGCAAGTAAAATATAGCATTAATCTTTCCTTTAGAGAATTCCAAGAAATGATTGGAACTCGTGGTTACATCAGTGAGCAGATTTGTGACCATATACACCGACAATACTGTAATTTTAATTATAACTTCTATTCTCGTTAAATTTATTTTCGATCTTTGACAGATTATTGAAAGCTGCCGAAGAGGTTCATTTACCAAAGACCTTACGTCAAGAGTTTGGTGGTGGATTGAAGGAATTCGTAGGTTCTGAGTCGAGCTGTTTTGAAGGCAGTGACGATGAAGCACGATTTTTCACTACTCAGGAAAGACAGTCTTTGGTACTGCATTTGCTGCACACCCTCAGAGCAGGCCCACAGGATCTTCACAGTCTATCTGGGCTTAAGATGGTGGAAGGTCAAGCAATTATTCCAAAGTGCATTTCTTCTGGGATTATATCTCAGGTTCGTGTTATCCAATAGACAGTCTTAACTTTGAATCTATTTTTATCTCTGCAATAATTCATAATTTTAAAAACCAAACTTCTAAAAAATTGTATCGTTAATTTGCGGTTCATATTTACGTGTAACGATAAATTTGGGTTTAGGTTTTCCCTCTTCACGAATTGCCTGCGTTAGAGAAGCTACAGCAGACCTGGGTCCGCGCGTTTCTCAGCCCTCAACCACTAGACGACATTTGTAAATACTTCGGAGTCAAGATAACCATGTACTTTGCGTGGCTCGGTCATTATACCACCGCTTTAATTGTTCCAGCTGCAGTGGGTGCCATATATTGGGTAAGAGGAAATCGAGGCTTGCAGATGTAAGTCAACTGTTTTTGGAAGAAATATCCAAACGTTTTACTGCAGCTAATTACTAGCTAATAATTGCAAAATGTTGGAATACCTTTTCCGGAGGAACACGACTTGCATCCGATAGCTTCAAGTTAATTTTTTATGCCTGAAGATTTTTAAACATTTCGTCCATTTAATCCTCTCTGATATTAACATCGTCATTATTTTGATCTTGTCCCAAGGTCGGCATCATTGGCAGGAATCAAGCGGTAGAAGACGTAGCGTATGTTCTATTCTCTGTTTTTAATGTAATCTGGGCCACCGTTTATCTGGAAACATGGAAAAGAAGGGGCGCCGAATTAGCCTACAGATGGGGTACGTTGGATCAAAGAGACGACCTACTTGTCGAGCCTAGACCGTTGTTTACGGTAAGCTTTCAGACAATCACCAACACCTCTCACGTTTTTCCCCTTCCTCGTGTACTCGTTTTAGATTACAGTAATATTCTACTAAATATGATTCCAATACCTTTATCTATTTCTCTATTTATTATTGTTACAGGGCACCTTGGAAACTTCACCTGTAACAGGAAGACTAGAACCAACTTACCCTAGATGGAAGAGGAACATATTCCGGTACTTCGTCAGCGTTCCCATTATCGCGACGTGCTTGTTCTTCGTTTTCATTGTGATGATCCTCAGCTTTCAGATACAGGTTACAGACATTTTTATATAGTTTTCATTTCGAGTCAATTTGTCTTTCCTTATTAGCAAATTTGTGTGTATCATCTATATTGTCATTTCTTTATATTTAAATTCGTGTTTTATTAAATCCCATTGAAATATCCAAGAAATAAGTAGCAAACAGTGGACATTGCTAACAATGTTTGAGTTTGGCAACATGCCTGAAATCACACTTGCAAAGTTTTCTTACGAAATCTCATCAAGAAAAAAAAAGCCTGGGGACAATGTAATTCCAAAGTTGAAGCGATATTTCTGTCCAACTGTCAGAAGAAATTTAACTTGAGAAAACGCCGAGTTTTTTTTTTCGACGACTGCAATTACTTGAACAGAAGCCAACTCCTCGATCGATTTATCATTATTCAACCTTTCGTCGAAGTTACAAAACTTTCCTGGTTATCGCACTTATCTTTACTTGTTTGATGGATAATATTTATTCCATGTATAAATGTTTCCAGTACGTAATGATATATTTTATCTCAGTATATGATACACTTTGTCATAATACCTAGCAATACAATAAACGTTCGTGAGAAAATATTACAAAAAACTCGTTTAATATTCCATGTTGAGTTTGCCTATTTCTAATCGGCAAGTTTTTAGCGATAGTTTAACTTGTGTTCCAAGAATCATACTTATTTTCTAAAATATGTTTAAAAAACAATTGCAGGATTGGTGGGATGCTCGTTTGGAGTCCAGGGGATATGGATTCTGGTTGAGCTACGTACCAAAAGTTTTACTAGCAATAGTGATAGCATTAATGGACGAAGCGTACTTCAAAGTTGCCGTGTGGTTGAACGATATGGGTACGTATAAGATGGCCAGTGCATCAACAGAACAATTATGTACATTATTTTGATTCCCATAGTATTGCTATCACTCTCTCGACATGATTGATCATTGTCGTACGGAACGAGATACGAGAGCGAACATTTTGTACGAATTCTTCGCATTGACTTTGTGTGTTCTCACAAGACACTATGCACGTCTAGTTCTTTTTTTCTGTCAAGAGCCTATAGCATATATATACTTTTCGAATCTTTTCACGGCTTAGCTTCTTTTAGAAATTAACTCAGAACTATGTCCCTGATTAACATACGTGACTTGAACAGATCTATTAACAAGCGAATGTTTTTGTGTTCTCTTCCTTATTATAAGAATACATCATACAAGTGAAATATATTACATAGATCTTACTATACTTATGTTTTTATACTCCTCTTTCTAATTCTATTACTTTTTTCCTTTTCTTCTTTCTTTTTTCTTTCTCGTATTTTTTCATTTTTTTTTTACATACTGGAGAGCAGTCATGTTATAGTAGATAGTATTTGTTATTTTTGTGTGTTGGACGCAGAAAACTATCGGCTAGACACTGAGTACGAGAATCATCTGATCTACAAGGTGGCACTGGTAATAAAGAAGAACTCTCCACTTTCAACCATTAGAATTATATTACATGTACTAGCTGTATTCTTTTGAGTCCTCCTCTAACCAAAAGCTGTAGAATGATCAGTTTTTTGTTTCTTCTTTTTAAAATTCAATAGTTATGTGATTAATATTCATATTGCTTCTCAGTCTTGTCAATTCTGAAAAACTTAATTTTATTCTAACTACTATTACTGTCGAATATACATAACTTTTTTAAGCAATTCATTAATTTATTTGCATTCAATAATTAAATTAACTTAGTAATAAAGACAAAATATAACATATGTTTAACGTTAAAAAATGTATTAAAAAATTATAACATCAAAATTCCTGAATAAAGGAAGACTTTATAAGAAATTTAGAGGTGGACCTTTAAATATAGTGTCAAATAAAAGCTCTTTTGCTTCTCCATTTGATTCAATTAATCGGAAAGTAAAAATCTGCTCTGGCTGTCTCTGTCGCTGCATGAAAATTCAATTCTCTCCTAAAACACTTTCTGCTTGCGCTTGTATACGTTTCGTGCATTTTAGTATATGTCTTAATCCACTACGACAGATAGAAAGTATACAGAAGAGACTATGTATTTCAGTTTCAGTTTGTAAACTCCTTCCTATCGCTATTTTACATCGCCTTCTACCTACAGGATCAAGAGAGACTTAAAGAGGTAAGGATCCCTTTACTCCCGTTTCTTCCTCTTTTTCTTTCTCTATTCTATCGAAGTTTTTTCATAGATAAAGTCTTAGATGAACTTAGATCAGCTCCTTTATATGGTATTCAATTTTCTGTCCTTGCGAATTCTTATCTCTGTAATTAGTATTTAGACAATATTAGATTATTTTTAGATAATGATAATGGTTACGACAAAAAACAGTGATTGTGATAAATATGATAAAAGAGTCGATAAAGAATCAAACACTTAGACAATAACTTCTTAGCTTTTTAAAATTACGTAGTTCGAAATGTACCGGATAAATTAAGAAAAAGGAATAAAATGTATAAAATTTCAGTTTTTAGTACATTTCATATTCTAAAGTTCATTTTGAACTTTGTAATTAAAAAAAGAACAACCTGATAAAAAAAATATAGTTTTTTTTTTAAATATAAAGTTAAAAAGTCACGGAATCACTCTGTACTTGGTAAAATTTATTCTTCGTTTAGTCAAAGTTCAAAAAATTATTTGCAAAACGTAAGAGATACAAATATTCAATTTCTGAAAATATTTGAAAAATATTATAATGAAACTTGTTTCTTATGATTCTAGCAATTAGCCGCACTACTAATAGCGCGACAAGTTATTGGAAATTTGAAAGAGTCTGCTGTACCATACCTAATCGAGCAGCTACGATTGGCCCGCCTAAGTTTCGAACTTTTCGGTGCATTAAGCCCAAGCGAGGCTAGGCCGCCACCTAGCGAGGAGAATGAAGAATTACGAAATGAATCTGAGGACAAAAGCGAACGTTCGGACGGCGGGAAAACCAAGCAGCCAAGAAATGTCAGCCAAGCAGAGCTGGAGAGTTCTCTCTACAGAGTAGGACATCCCACTAATTCTCTACTTAGTGACTTTACGTTCAAGGTTTGATCTAGATTTAGCTAATTTCTTTCGTTTTCAATGCACTTATGCAGTTGCGCACTGAACCTGAATTGCGTTGGCGGCATTTTAAACGCGAGTTGAGGTTAAGTAACAAATTGGAAAAGTTGTTATATTTAAAACAATAAAATTGTAGTATTTTTTTTGTAATTAACATTATAAAATTTAAATGATTGGAATCGCCAAGGTGACAGGTTCTCTCATTCGTCATATCATAATTCTTTATCTTTTCTTTATGTTATTTTTAATGACACTTGGCTTGCATAGACAATATCTTGTTTTCATTAGTTTTATTTTGGGGCAATCGAAAATATTAAAAGCAATCTTAGTATGGAAAAAAGAAATGGAAATGTACACGAATGTGGAGCTAATGAATGTTGTCCTGTGTTTTCTGATCAGTTCTTTTTGCAGAGTTTTAATGATTTTCTTTTCCCGTTTCCTACCAATTCTGTCAACGACGAACAGGTATCGACCAAAAAGGTAATATCATCTGATCATCCTATCATTAAATAATTGACCCTTTCGATTACCGACTATAGTAATTATCATTAAATAATGAAATCCGAAGAAAGGTATAGATATGAATATAATGGAATATACGAGTAAAATGACATATACGGATTTTTTGAAATTGCTGCAGATCACTTAAATAATGCATGATAAAAAAGTGCGTTTGTCGTGTAATAAACAAATGTTTAATTTCACTTTATTTTTCAATAACATAATGTTAAAGATAAGGTTTTGGTCACATGGTGTTAAGCAACCCCATTTCCATGTAAGATTCGTTCCTCTATTTGATTGATCTGTAATTTTAAAGTATAT